GGGGGGTTAATCATGAAATTTGAAATAGTATGTGCAGATACATCAAGTACAGTATATAAAGTACAAAGACTGCTCACATTTTTAGACAGAAAATATGGGTCTATTGCTAGACACTACAGTCTAGTCTGATAGAAAACCTTGCTTTATTCATTATGGTCTATCTAGGCCAACAATTTTCATATATCATTATTTCAATTTAATGCGCCCAATATGGCACATATGCAGTCCTTGAGGATTAATTTGGTTGAATATCCCCACACCTTAATTTGACTGAACAACCTCCACTTTAGTTTTTAGTTTTAGTAAGTGCTTTACGGCACTTGTAACACAATAAGGTCATATAAGGGCTGCAGATTAGAAGTATTACAAGAGAGTAACAAACATAAAAAATAAGGAAGAGAGACAAGGACAATAGACGTTTGATAGGAAAGAAGAAGCAAACCACACCAGAGCACCACCCAACCACCAGCCCACTTCAGTTTGACTGACCAGGACAGGAATGTCATTACACATCATTTACAACGACAAATGGAATCCAATTGATGTAGAAAAAAATTTTTAGGCCAACCCCATCCGTGTTTCTCACCTCTATATCCATGAGGGTCGACCGTTTCAGAAAATTTTTACTCAGGTAAGACTTCTCTGACGACTTGCCATTCTCCCTAGCCTTGATCCAACTGAAATGGAAAATGATCAAACAGTAGAAGATTAATATCAACACATTCATCATCCTCATCATTATCATTGAGTGGAAAGTACCAATAAAGTATTAGCTCCTTATCCCCGGCAAGCTATGACCAATTTACTGACATATGTGTCAACTTAAGATTTCAAACTAAAGGAAGGTCGCCGCATAGTGGGTTTAACTCACTCATAACTGAGCCCAAGATAGTCGGGCTGTGCACTTCTGCGTTGAACCCTGAACCTGACAGTATTGGGATGATGGGATGAAAATTTCTTCTCCTTAATTATGTAACAAACACACATCAAATAAGAATAGAGAATAGACTATACTTTATGACTGACCTTAGGACATTTCTTTATAAGAAACAGACTATTATAAGGGCAAAGATAACTTAGCACATGGTAACAAAGTGGGAAATGAGAATGAGTCTTGGTCTTTCATCTGCGCCACTTTTAAGTGCAAGTAGCTAACCTTTTTCAAATGGCAATATCTCACTGACTATCAAATATTTTCAAATTTTGTAAAAGGTAATAGTCCATGTAATGACTAAACAAATTATGTGTGAAATATTACAGCGATTGACGTTGATTTAGTATTTTTTTCAGACTTTACAAAAACACTCTAAACCATTAGGCACAGCCAGCAGACGCGGTCCTTGGGCCCAGGGCAGAGTGAGTTAACCCCCTCAGAGATAAAGACTTAAAGAAAGAGACAGAGAGAGTCTATACAGCAACACACAGACAGCAAACAGCAAACAGCGTGCGGAGAGTTTACCCGGAGAAAGCCTTGTACAGTGTCAGGTGGTCCGAGTTCGCCACAGACATTGCCTGTTTGGCCGAGTCGGCCTCCGACCTCTTGCTCAGCGGCACGACGAAGGGAGACTTGTCTGTCATGGCCGCAGCTATCACCGCCTGGGGAGGAAGGAGTTAATTATATTATACACGGACACAATAACTGTCAGGTAGTTTGTTTGTTTGTTCGTTTGTTTGTATGTTTGAGTAAATAGAAGCACATCAAATCAATAATGGTCACTTCGTCTATTTAGGATATGTCTTTGTTTTAGTGAGAGTTTTACGGCACTTGCAACACAATCAGGACATATAAGTGCCGAAGACTAGAGATGTTACAAGAGAGTAATAAACACAAAAAAGAAGGAGGGGAGATAAGGACGATAGATGTTTGATAGGAAAGAAGAAGCAAACCACACCAGACCACCCACCAACCACCCACTTATTTGAGTTAAGTGAATCATTTTGTTTGTTTGAGTAAAGAGAAACACATCAACGCAGTTATGGTCTTTTTGTTGATTTGTTGATTTGTTTGTGTACAGATGTCCAGAGAAGCACATCAACGCAATATCGGTCTATTTGTTTGTTTGTTTGTTTATTTGTTTGTGTACAGATGTACAGAGAAGCACATCAATGCAATAACGGTCAATTTGTTTGTTTGTTTGTTTATTTGTTTGTGTACAGTGAAGCACATCAACGCAATAATGGTCAATTTTTTAATTTTTTTATTTGTTTGTTTGTTTGTTTATAGAGAAGCACATCAATGCAATAACGGTCTATTTGTTTGTTTGTTTCTTTCTTTCTTTCTTCGAGTAAAGAGAATCACATCAACACAATAACTGTTATTTTGTTTGTTTTTTTGTTCGTTTTTTTTTTTTTTGTTTGAGTAAAGAGAATCACATCAAAACGATAACGATCATCACGTTTAGCTTTTTGAACACAAAAAGATAGTAAAAAGTAAAACTAAGTAAGTATTTGAAATGTCTGCATAGTTCAACAATTTCTCTCTCTCTCTCTCCCGTCTGACTCACTATCTGATCTAAGCACCCAAAGATGGCGGCCAGGATGAGCATCTTGCCGATGCGCACGTCGACGGGCAGGGCGGCCAGGTGGTGGCCCAGGGGCGTCAGGGCGCTGCCATCGCTGTGACATGCTCCAACCTCCCGCAGTACGGACATGGCGCGACTGATGGCCGTGCTCTGGGGCGGGTCCAAGGCCAGGGAGAGGAACTCGTGCGGGTGTCCGTACTCACATTTCT